TTTGATATTTCAAAATTTATTAACATGGTCATCATAGGAAAAGTCAGAATTATACTGGGCTTCCTCTTGGTTTACAGTTTACAATTGTTCTTATTTTGAATCACATGTTGCAGGGCCTGGGGGCAGGGTCCTTCATAATCTTTTCATTGCTTTGGACTCTAAAGAACTTCAAATTACTTCTCTGAGGCCTCCCTCCAGCATCTGAAAACTCTCACCTCAGGAAAAAAAAAAAAAAAAAACAGTGGAGATTCTATTCTTTCTCAGTTCTGCCAATTTAAGACATGATTTCAGAGAAATTTCTAAGCCAGGGTGTGCCTTGCTTCCTGCAATAGGAAGGTGGAAAGAATAACCATTTAGTACCTTATGACTGGTGAGAAATAGCTGGTGGTTAATGAATCAATGCAAAGGATTTTTCAAATACTGTTTTCATTACTAATGCCCCATTTTCAATTGGTGAGAGCAGAAGAGGATGCAGTGGTTGGAGGAGGAAGGAATTTCAAGACCCTAGGGTAGAGAAGCCAACTCTGATTGTTCTCTCTGCAGTGGGAGGATACCTGAGGAGGGGAGTATACCACCCTCCAAGGGCCCTTCACTTGCCCAGGGCTTCCATGCAACATCTGAAGCAAGGGATATTCAGCTCTAGCCTGTTGCCATTTGCCCTTTGCCCTTTGCAGGGATGCAATTTTTTTTTTTTTCTAATTATTCAGTTCCACTGGAGCACTCAGTTGTTGCAAATAACCCATTTATCGTCATTGACTCTTTTGGATTTTTCCCAGAACTAATTTCATTTTTGAAAGTTTCTCTTCTTATTGTTTTGAGCAAATTACTGAGCACCTTTATAGATTTATTTTTATTTGTCTGATAGATGCTACTATTAAAGTTCTTTTATATGATTGGATAGAATTTATTTCCATGACTTCAAAAGCAAGGAGGTAGTCGCTCTAAAGATGACCCACTAAGTTTAGAATTTCATTTAAAAATAGCTCTACAATGTATTGAAAAGCCATTTATTCAGCAATCAAGTATTGAGTTATCCAACTAAAAGCTCTGTGGATGGCAAGGGTTATAAATGCAGAAAAAATGTGGTACTTGCCCAGGATTTGTACTCCACTGAGAATCCAACTATAATTGCCAACATTTTCCACTTTTGTTGTTTTAATTATTTCAAAATTCAGTAACTATAGGCATCCTGAAACAGTATGTGTTCCCTTATATTGCTTCGAAATCTCATATCACCTTTTTGCCTGCATTTAGAAGGCATGAAGTTTAGACCTGGAAGCACAGGTCTACTCCTCTCCAGTGGGAGACCAATAGCAAATGGAATCCAATGGAGCAGCTGCGACTATCACTTGGAAGCCCTCTGTGAGCCACTAACCCACCACTCCTCCTTTGTGGCTTCTTTTGAGCTTTAGATTTATCCAGCAAACTACAGCATTTAAGCTCTTTCCTATTTTTTATTTCCTTTGATTCTTGTAACAACCCAGTAAGGCAGTAAGATTAGGTGTGTTCACCTCATGCTACAGATTAAAAAACTGAGGCCCAGAGATGTTAAACCACTTGCCAAAAGGTCGCTCAGCCAGTAAGTGGGAGCCTGCAATTCCAAGCCCACTGAGATCTTCTCTAGCTGCTTACATCACCACCACTGACCAGTCTGCTGTTTCCAAGCCTTCACAATGGCTGTGCCACAAAGTTGACTTGATCATTTCTGTGAATGCTTCTTTGGCCTTTTTCATGATACAAGCAGAAAGCTTTAAGTTTGAAAGGCATTTCCAAAAATAACGTTTACCTTATCTTCTTCAACTGCACTTTCAACTTACTCTCTGATCTGTTTCTATCTTTGGACGTTTCTGAATTTACACCAGCAGATGAGGAAAGCCCTGTGCCTCCCCATGGATAGATGAAGAGATGCAAAAATGTTTTTAAGGCCACTCTTTATATAACAAAACGAGACGGGGGAAAAAAAATCTGTCTGAGATACCATTTTCCTGAAAGGTCAGATCCTACTTAACTTGTTAACAACCAAAAACCTGAACTCAAATATCATCCACTAAAAAAGAGTTCTTCCCAGTGAAAGAATAAGTAGCTTTCATGAGTCCAAAATAGCCAAGGACCTTCAGACATGAAAGAAGAATGATATTTGGGAGCTACAAGTAAGGCTAAGAAGCAATGGATACATGTGAAAAATTTGCAATTCTCCCAGGGAAACCAATGGATTGCTCTAGCTTTACTCTCTCCATGTTCCTTTTAAACTGAGAGGGCAATTTAAATAATAGAATGCCAAAGTCAATTATAAATAGCTTCCTATTATAATACACATTTATTGGGAATATCCAGTCCCCCTAAATTTGGTTGCCTGGAAGGGTTTCATGAAACACTCATAGCCATGAAAAACATACGTAATACACCCCTACCCCATCACTGGGATCTAGCCTGTGTTAAACTCCCACTGAAATCACCAAGTCAATGAGGGAAATTAAAACCCATTTTATCCACAGGTGTACATTTGTGTGCAATTATATGTAGGGGGTTAAAAATGATGTTCAGTAGAACCCCATACATAATCAAAATTGAAGAAAAATGAGTTGCTATTTTAGCATAATAAGGAAATGCAAATTTAAGAAAGAAAGAAAATTTTCATTAGCACACTTCCTTGGTGAATAGGTATTAAAATATATTTGAATGCAGGACACCCCGCTGTTTGGGGAGCTTCACACATAAAAGGTGTGAGTTACAGCCAAATTATCTGGCTGTTTTTTGCTTCTCAGTTTCTACCCCTTAAAAGCTGATGGAGATAAATCTGGAAATATTTGAAAAGCATCACATTTGGAAATTATTTGATATCTTACCATCTTGCACACTCTTTCCTTATGGTGAATTGCCTCAACTGCCTTTTATTACCGAGGGTATTTGTTGGGTCACAGAATCTTTATTTCTTAAGAGATATTTGCTGCTTCTACTTAAGTCACAATCCTTTGTCACAGGACAATCATTTCCACAGCAACCAACTGTGATGTCACAACTGAAGGGAGGAGGACCCTTAGGAAGGAAAGAAAAAGAGAATGTACTTTTCAGGCTAAGGTTTCTGGGTTTTAAAACCATCACTTCAGAAATCAAAATATTTTAGCAGAAAAACCCCCATGACAAAGCTTCAAGGTCTCAGCTGTGACAAAGACAACATTTCAGTAGAAGTTTAAGGGTTGCATGTTGTGGGTTTGGGAAGGGGTAGAGATTTTTATTTCCTTTCATTCTAATTCTGTGCCACTGATACCTGCCAGTAAAATACATTAAACATATTCCAGAAAGAGTTGATTTAGTAGATGAAAAATGTGTCTCCCGAGACCAGAGAAGGTACATTTTCTGTCTTGCTATCATTTCCATAATAGGAGCAATGTTTACATTTCTGCAGCCCATGCAGTGCCTCTAATATATTCGTGTTCTTTCACTCTCCAGAGGCAGGAATTGAGGTATTTGAGATTTTATTTTTTAGTGACTGCATCAAGCACTTAAGATCTGACAATTGTGATGTGTATTCTCACTTGGCATTAAAAAATAAAAGCTTCAGTGTTTGCATTTGATTAGAGTCGCTCAGCTGGGTGGCTGATTAAGCAGGAATAGCGAAAGCACCTTCCTTCGGAAACACTGAATCCTGGTTAATGTAGTGTAAGATTATGGACGGGTGTAGTCACGTAATTTTTATTAAATTGAAGAGATTAGCTCTGCTGAAAAATCTCACTGTGACAGCAAACTCTAGGTGCAATAATGGGACCTAACACTTAAACCCACTACAGGGCCCCAAACGGTCTTATTTCTAAATCTTCTTTCAGTTCCAATGAGAGAGCTTCATTCAAGCTTCATTCAAATATTCAACATATTCACCTGAAATTGAGTTTGCACTGTTGTTGTTTTTTTTTTTTTTTTTTGAGAGGTGATGCAAAATCAGCACAAACATTTGTAGTCTGTGAACTTTAGCTTTATTCTCTCAGTGTAAATAAAAACGACACACACTGTCTTTCCTCTAGTTGCTTAAAAGGCAAACATACTTTTCCCCAGACAGAGGCTCGGGTGGCCACAAGGGGGTCATCGGAAAACATCCCAACTGGAAGTCTCGAGTGTTGTGTGATTTGTTCGGTTAACATGCGTAAAATTGTTGCCTCTTCCTCCAGACTCAGGATAACTTAGTTATTCCAATTCTAGAAGGGGAAGATTAAAAAGCCATAAAGAGGGAAAGAAAGATAAATAACTTTTGAAAGCCAAAACCTCCCATATTCCATGGAGTGAAGCAGAGTAGAAAGTGCAGGTACTGGAGAGAGTGAACAGCACTTTTCCTTCCTTCCCTCCTTTCCTTCCTTCCTTCCTTCCTTTCCTTCCTTCCTTCCTTCCTTCCTTCCTCCCTCCCTCCCTCCCTCCCTCCCTCACTCGCTCCCTTCCTTCCTTTCTTTCTTTGTTTTTTGAAATGGAGTCTCGCTCTGTCGCCCAGGCTGGAGTGCAGTGGTCTGATCTCCGCTCCCTGCAACCTCCGCCTCCCAAGTTCAAGCAATTCTTTACCCTCAGCCTCCAGAGTACCTGGGATTACAAGCCCCTGCCACCACTCCCGGCTAATTTTTTTATTTTTTTATTTTTATTTTTATTTTTGGTATTTTTAGTAGAGACGGGGGTTTCACCATCTTGGCCAGGCTGATCTTGAACTCCTGACCTCGTGATCCACCTGCCTTGGCCTCCCAAAGTGCTGGGATTACAGGCATGAGCCATGGCAGCCGGCCTGAACAGCACTTTTTTAGACAACAAAGAAGGCTACAAATGGAGTCCATTTACATACTGCACACGAGGGGATTGGGGAGGATTAATTAGTTAATGTTTGGCAAGCTGAGCTTGGAAGACAAGTTGTGCAGAGGTGCTATTGTCACTTATTACTGTTATTAATTAACAAGGTGAATGCTAAACAAAAACAAGCCTCGGGGTGTGCTTTCATTTCTTAACGCCATATGCGATGTCTATTGCAGGAGTGATTCGGGAAAGTTACCTCAAAGGCCACGACCAGCTGGTTCCCGTCACCCTCTTGGCCATTGCAGTCATCCTGGCTTTCGTCATGGGGGCCGTCTTCTCGGGCATCACCGTCTACTGCGTCTGTGATCACCGGCGCAAAGACGTGGCCGTGGTGCAGCGCAAGGAGAAGGAGCTCACCCACTCGCGCCGGGGCTCCATGAGCAGCGTCACCAAGCTCAGCGGCCTCTTTGGGGACACTCAATCCAAAGACCCGAAGCCGGAGGCCATCCTCACGCCACTCATGCACAACGGCAAGCTCGCCACTCCGGGCAACACGGCCAAGATGCTCATTAAAGCAGACCAGCACCACCTGGACCTGACCGCCCTCCCCACCCCAGAGTCCACTCCAACGCTGCAGCAGAAGCGGAAGCCCAGCCGCGGCAGCCGCGAGTGGGAGAGGAACCAGAACCTCATCAATGCCTGCACAAAGGACTTGCCCCCCATGGGCTCCCCTGTGATTCCCACGGACCTGCCCCTGCGGGCCTCCCCCAGCCACATCCCCAGCGTGGTGGTCCTTCCCATCACGCAGCAGGGCTACCAGCATGAGTATGTGGACCAGCCCAAAATGAGCGAGGTGGCCCAGATGGCGCTGGAGGACCAGGCAGCCACCTTGGAGTATAAGACCATCAAGGAACATCTCAGCAGCAAGAGTCCCAACCATGGGGTGAACCTTGTGGAGAACCTGGACAGCCTGCCCCCCAAAGTTCCACAACGGGAGGCCTCCCTGGGCCCCCCGGGAACCTCCCTGTCTCAGACCGGTCTAAGCAAGCGGCTGGAAATGCACCACTCCTCTTCCTACGGGGTTGACTATAAGAGGAGCTACCCCACGAACTCGCTCACGAGAAGCCACCAGGCCACCACTCTCAAAAGAAACAATACTAACTCCTCCAATTCCTCTCACCTCTCCAGAAACCAGAGCTTTGGCAGGGGAGACAACCCGCCGCCCGCCCCGCAGAGGGTGGACTCCATCCAGGTGCACAGCTCCCAGCCATCTGGCCAGGCCGTGACTGTCTCCAGGCAGCCCAGCCTCAACGCCTGCAACTCACTGACGAGGTCGGGGCTGAAGCGTACGCCCTCGCTAAAGCCGGACGTACCCCCCAAACCTTCTTTTGCTCCCCTTTCCACATCCATGAAGCCCAATGATGCGTGTACATAATCCCAGGGGGAGGGGGTCAGGTGTCGAACCAGCAGGCAAGGCGAGGTGCCCGCTCAGCTCAGCAAGGTTCTCAACTGCCTCGAGTACCCACCAGACCAAGATGGCCCGCGGCAGAGCCGAGGACGAGCCGAGGACGCTGGGTCCTCCTCTCTGGGACACAGGGGTACGCACGAAAATTGGGCCGCGTGGTTTGGTGAAGGTTTGCAACGGCGGGGACTCACCTCCATTCTCTTCCTTCACTCTTCCCCCACACCCTACAATATAGGTCGGTCCCACAAAAGACTTCAGTTATCATCACAAACATGAGCCAAAAGCACATACCTACCCCATCCCCCATATACACACACACATGCACACAACACACACACGCACAGAGGTGAACAGAAACTGAAACATTTTGTCCATAACTTAACGGGACGTGGCCACACTGGGTTTGCGTTCCAACCTGCAAAACACAAATACATTTTTTTAAATCATGAAAATTTAAAAAGACAAAAAAAAGAATTCATTGATAATTCTAACTCAGACTTTAACAATGGCAGAAGTTTACTATGCGCAAATACTGTGAAATGCCCGCCAGTGTTACAGCTTTCTGTTACAGCAGATAAATGCCATGTTGGGCAACTATGTCGTAGATTTCTGCTCCTCCTCTCTTTTAATGAAATAACGTGACCGTTAACGCAAGTAACTCTTTATTTATTGTTCACCCTGTTTTTCCTTAAGGAAAGGACTCTTCCAGATATCATCCTATGAACAGCTCTTCCGAAAGCCCATTGAAAGTTAAAGTATTTAACGTGAAAACCATTAACTGGAATAATTGAGTTTCTTTATTTTTACAATAAATTCACTGAGTAAATAAGTTGGAGCTGGAATTCTGAGCTTTGTGTTTGGACTGTCTGGTCTGTAGCTAAAGGAAAAAGTTAGGAGAGGAATATTTATTTAAATCTATCAGTTCATTTGCTGGTCAGGTCTCTGGCCTATAAACATGCAAAAAAATTAATTCATGTCAAAGTCCTTCCAGATCCTAATTTCTAAAGCAATCAGGAGAGAAGCTTTTAGAATGGCACATCATATCCTATTGGTGCCAACATGGTTTTGTCCATGGTTCCGACTTTCTGTGAAGGCACCAGCTTGCAATATGCCATCTCATTTCATGTTGCATGTGAGACAGCAAACAAAATCCACAAACGGTGTGAACTAATTAATATGCTGGCTGCTACCTTGCATAAATTAATGATTTGATCACACAGGTTCTTCGTGGGGTTACATCTGTGAATAGCCTGTTTTCCACATGTAAATTTGTGCCTTACACCTTGAGTTGTGTACACGTGTAAACTGTCGTTATGATCAACTTTTCCCCCTTTTGAAATAAGTGCAGATATTTATTTAACCCTTCCTTCCCCCCACCCCTCCTCCAGCCCTCTGAAAGACTGGAGTCAAGCAGATGGAAGAATGCAGTGGTGATAGTTGTCATGCTACAGCCTGAGAACGCTGGGCAGCACCACATCCTCCAATGCACACTGCCTTCTAGTTGTGCCAACTCGAACCACCCTTTGGCTGTGCTGCCAAGCATGGACCCCAGTGTTGTGGGTGGCAAATCCCCTTTCATCCTCAAGAGCTCCCTGCTTCCCTTAGATTATTTCAATACGGTGATTAGCAAATAAGGATTTGCTAGCAGAAAAGGGACTAACGTCCCATTCCTCTTTTCTGCTGTGTCCACTGGCTAGAGAGCAGGCTGTGTGTGGTTGGGCAGACACCTGGGAGGAGTCCCCAAGCCATGTGCATAGCACACACATGCAGTGCACACAAAGAAATGACATGGAAATAGATGCAGGCAGGCTGGTCCCTGCTGTGATTAATGAGTAACTCCAGGTACAAGGCCGACCACAATGGATGCTGCAAAAACGTTGACTGGGGCAAAGGATTTTTTGTTTTATTTTTTATTTTGTTATTATTGTTTTTAGGGGATGGGAGGTGATGTGTGTTTTTCTCCCCTTGGTTTTCATTTGCTCAACACAAAAGGGACTTTTGTTTACTCTATCGTGAACAAAGGAACTGTCCACATACTGTAAACCATGAGCAGTGTTGTTGTTGTTTTAAACAGTTATACAGTATATTTGGTTTTCTCTTTGTCCGTTTTTATTTCCAGTTGGATCTTCTGGGTTTAGTTTTGTCTTTAAAAAGAATTCAAAAAAAGACTGACAATGACAGTTTTGAGTTGGATAGTGAAAAAGTGGAGCCTCCATAATCAGTTGGTTGCCTTCAGACCTAAGTACTTAGCTGAGGGTGAGAGCCCTTTGTTCCAAAATCCATTGCAGTTTTACTGTTGTTTAGGGGTAGGTGATGGTGGTGGTTGTTTTCACTTTTTTTTTTTTTTTTGGCTTTTGTAATGGAATCCATGTTCACATCCTGTAAACTCTGTCCCCTGAAACCCTGAAGTATTTTCTAGAAATTGAAATACTGTTTTCTTCCTTGAATTTTCTCTAGAAATGCAGAAATTAGGAAGGCGATGGGTCTGTATCCCCCGACCCCTTCTTTCCCATGCTTGACTCCCGAGAGTACTGGCTGTACAGCACCCATCATTGACGTGAGCGGCTGTCTTGTCCAGTATTTGTGGGCCTCACTGCCTCAGCTGTTAAGGAGACCTGTGTCAAAACTTACATCCACATTCCTACGCCCCCACAACCCATCACTTCTGGTGTTAACCCTAAAATACCCACATGTATTGAGCTGGTCTTCTGCATTTAAGTATTTCTTCCCATTTGTTTTCCCCACTGTGTGTGGGGGGAGGGTCCATATACCCGAGTGTGCCTTTGCTTTCCACCCTTGCTAGACACTGGTAGATGCAACAAATTCAGATTTGTATTTGTTGTAAAGTTGTAAAAATATTGTGATGTCACCAATTTTCCTTCCATCTCCACATCCCCTAACATCTGATTCACGACTTAATGTATGTTGTAAAAAAGGAAAAAAAAAAAAAAAAAGAAAGAAAGAAAGAAAGGGAAAAAAGGAAAAAAGCAAGGAAAAGGTTCTTTATTACTTAAAAGTAATAAAACCTGACTGTTCTACATTATCTTTTGTGTCCTGAATGCTTTTATTTATCTCTTAATTTTTCCTTTTCAAGCTGCTCTCCCCACCCTTTGTGGGTATGATTCTACTCTTTCCTCCATTTCTATCTGGCTTCCAAAGCGTACATAACTATAGAGTTTGATGTATTTGTTTGCAGTGTCCACACCCAGCCACCCCCACCCAAATTATTGACGGTTTCCCTGCTCAAACCCAGCCTGGAGCAGGATTTTAGCAGAAGCCATTGGTAATTAAAAGGCAGAGCACGCATTGGCTCCTTCTATTCATTTTATGCATTTTCTTTTTATGGGCTTGTTCATCATCAAACATTTATGGTAGGCTTGATAGTTTAAGAGATCAAGGCTAGGATTTTAGTATGTAGGGTCCACTAAAAATAGATCTTTGCACAGATGTGACTTCAGTCTTTTTACATATTAATAAGGTGGAGGGGGCTGGATTTTACTCCTTGTTAGCATTTATCTTTTGTAACCCAGTAGACACGGTTGGAGGTATATTGGGACACAGCGCTTGATTCTTCTTTTGCAAAAGAGCATTATGAAATGCCTAGATCAGGTTTTCCTCTAGGGGTGTTTTTAAAACAATTATTTTAATAAGTCTTCAGCTATAGTATTTTACTTTTGACCCTCTGACTTTTTTTTTTTTTTTTTTTTTTTTGATGTTTTAAGTCAGTTGAGTGTGGGAAGCTGCAGGTTGAGGCCTCAGTTCATACCTATAGTAACCCAGTAACCTTTAGATTGCCATCTCCAATTGTGTTTCTTGAATTACATCCATAGCGCCTGGCTCTGTTAGGCACAAAGTTGACTAGAATGTAGTTTCTACCTCCTCATTTGCAAGGAGAGACTGACATGGCCATTGTAGTTGCCATTTGGAGGTAAGAACAAAGTACTGATGAAGCTCCCTAGATGTTAGGGTCACAATATTTGTGCTGGTTCTTAACGAACGAGTTCTCTGAACAACTAGCCCAGGCAGAGGGGACATCCTTTGCAAAGGCACCAAGTGTGCTCTTCGGGAAGCAAAAGGTTCAGCAGGCCTTGTGCGGGGTCTGTGAGAGAGCTTGGCAGGGCAAGTCCAGGAAAGGGGGGTTGGAGACAGGCCAGGAGGGACCTGGTTCCCATATGCTAGGATTTTAGCTGAAGCAGGAGTGCTCCCCTGCTTTGGAGTAAATAAAACAACAGACACTTGTGCTTGGGAAAGCTACTTGGCCATTATGTGGGAAGTGGATTGGCCCAGAGAGGGACGGCAGGTCAGCTGGGCAGTTTGCCAGATGGCATGTCAAGTGTGTAAGAGCAACACAAGTGAAAACCCCACATCCAAGGTCAGATTCTTTAGGACAGACTCAGCTCTGTGATCGTCCCTTTTTGCCAGAAAGAACTTCCGTGGTATGTAATTGGCAGGTTAGCTCTGCCCGGTTATACCCAAATGTCTGGTTATACCAAACTGACAGAACGACCAACATCTAGCATGACCCTTTCATTTTAAAAATGGGGGAAGCTTTGCAAGGCTGAGGTGGGTGGATCACGAGGTCAGGAGATTGAGATCATCCTGGCCAACATGGTGAAACCCCGCATCTACTAAAATGCAAAAAATTAGCCAGGCGTGGTAGCATGTGCCTGTAGTCCCCGCTACTCGGGAGAATAGGGGAATCGCTTGAACCCTGCAGGTGGAAGTTGCAGTGAGCTGAGATTGTGCCACTGTACTCTAGCCTGGTGACAGAGCAAGACTCCATCTCAAAAAAAAAAAAAAAAAAAAAAATCCTGGGGGAAGCTGAGGTCCACTGAGTGAAAGGATTTGCTCATGCTCCAAAACTAGTGGTAGAGCAGCTATTCTGAAAACAAATTCATAGTCTCTTTCCCCCATTCATTCAGATCAGTAGAGTAATACTAGCTAGAAAGATTTGATCCCGCTCACCTATCTAGATAGCATCCCCATCTTTCTCAGTCATCCTTTCTCATAGGAAGCCCTTCATACACACCCACCCTTCACCAGCTGGGCTTCCTAGATCCCCTCATCTGGGCCAAGGCAAGGGGTTGGAAAGAAGCTTGGATCATGTAGGCTTGAAGCATACAGTCCCCGCAGTGCAACCTGATACTTGGTCTCGTGGCTTTTGCTGCAGTCAGCTTTGTTCTGGGCTGCTGAAGAGGTGAAAGAGGCTGAACAGGTGTAGCCAGTATTTTATCTGGGGCCCCGGGGATGTCCCTGCTCAGACACAAAAACTGCCTCAGACAACCCTGATTTTTTATTGTGTTTGCTTGCTTGCTTGATTTTTACAAGGTTAAAGGTTTCTGCAGTGCTTTTAGACTGTTTTTCCAAAGCAGTGGCTGTCCTGATGCAGCTACCAGGCTAGGTGTTTCATGGGATCAGAGATGACATCTTGGACCTGAATGTTTTCCTCAAGGGCCATGTC